AATTAAAATTAACACCCATTAAAACCAAGCTTTCAAATCCAATAATTCATATCCAAAACTTAATACTTAAATCTAATTAATAAAAAATTCTACTTCCATTAACTATTTAAAAAAAAATCTTCTATTCCTCTACAATTCCTCACTGTTCGAAAAAAAATTAATACCCATTAACCTCTTAAAAAATTACTGTATAAGCTGAAACATTCCTAGTGCGCATCACAGACTCAGGTTTGGCTGTTTGCGCACTTTGGGTCATGACAAATGACGAGACGCAAGTACCGTCTAAAAGCAAAAGCTTAGAGTCTCTGTTTTTTTTTTTGGGTTTTCTGTCTGTCTGGTATTTAGAATTTTGTTTTGACTAATTCGGATTGACTTGCGTCGTGCATGTGATAATAATGATAGATGAGTCTTCCAACAAAAATTACTGCATACATAAAATCTTAAATTCAAAATCTTATTTAAACTGAAACAAACCACTTACAATTTAATTCAACTCTAGTCGTTAAGTCTCTGTTATTATTAAAAAAAAAAAAAGGAAGGAAAAGCGCTTAGAGTCTCGGAAGTCCGCACCGTAAAATGGACTCCGTCTCCCGCGGGTAATGACGTCATCCATCTTTCCTTTCTTTACACGTCACCGATCCGCGACAATCCTGAACTCCAAAAAGAACCAAAACTCCATCTCCACCGCCAATTTACCCACTTCCTGACAAAATCCAACGACTCAGGGTCAGAGATTCCCAATTTTCCCATTCTGCGTCACCCACTGAACAGTCCAAAAACCCATGACATCTCACCCGTCTATTGCTAAACCAAATCCAACGGCCTATGTTAGCCATGTCATCGATCCCGTGAAAACCAAATCCACCAATTGCTCTTCTCCTCTCCGTTCTATATAAAGGAATAGAACCATCTTGCGTTTCCTCGCAGCAACAAATCTCTTGTTTGATTCACCTTTTTTACCTTATCTTTTTCAAAAGTAAAGCAAAAATATGGCACCTAAAGCAGAGAAGAAACCGGCGGAGAAGAAGCCCGCCGAGGAGAAGAAGTCGGTAGCAGAGAAGGCTCCGGCAGAGAAGAAGCCGAAGGCTGGCAAGAAGCTGCCGAAGGAGGGCGGCGCCGCCGCTGGCGATAAGAAGAAGAAGCGGACGAAGAAGAGCACGGAGACTTACAAGATCTACATCTTTAAGGTCTTGAAGCAGGTCCATCCAGACATCGGGATATCGAGCAAGGCCATGGGGATCATGAACAGCTTCATCAATGATATCTTCGAGAAGCTTGCTCAGGAGGCGTCTAGGCTTGCCAGGTACAACAAGAAGCCGACGATTACGTCTCGGGAGATCCAGACTGCCGTGAGACTTGTGCTTCCTGGAGAGCTCGCGAAGCATGCCGTGTCTGAGGGGACCAAGGCCGTGACGAAGTTCACCTCATCTTGATCTGCTGTCGATTAGAATCTGGCTTTGTGTATTTAGGGTTAGGGTTTCAGTAGACTATCAATTTGTGGCTTTTATGTGGTTATTTCTGAGAAAATCAAACTTTGGTTGTATGTGAAGAATATCTGTCTGATCTAAATGTAAACCTTGCTAGCAATCCATGGAATTGAATAGTATTACGACTACACATTTTCTACCTGTTTTCATGTGCAATTGATTAATCATCCTAACAGGGGAAACAAACAAGTGAAAACACCTGAAAAAATTGATTTGGGTATTTATTATTTCCCCTGTTTTTCATTGAATTTGTGTTATCTGTTATCCATGTCCGGGGAAGCACACCCTCTTTATATGCTCTCTTTAAGG